TATATATATATACATATATATATATATATATATACATATATATACATATATATTATATATGGGAAATTTACATTCTCAGCACACAATTCTTATGTATTTACATCTCTAACGCCTAAAATTTTAAATTTACATACATAACACTTTGGTGTTTTAAACCTATGCATGAAAATGTGTATTTCACTTTTAAAAGTGATAATAGTATTATTTTTATGTGATATTGAAGCTTTGAGTGCTATGCGTGTAAATATGAAGAAGGTATAGGTGTCAAATATGTAAATACATAGAATTGTGTGCTCTGTATCTAAATGCTCCCTTTTTTTAATTCATAGATTACTAGAAAGGAACATGCCCTGCCTAGCTTTTGATAATTTTAGACTTGGTTTTGTAGGTTATGATAATTAAATTGGTTGGAAATTATAGTGATACAGTTTAAAATTTTAGTCCCGGAACTTAGTCATTTCACACCAAAATCTGTCCACATTCTTCTTTTTTTTCTTAATTCTTTTGTAATGATCCGGTAATGTTCAACCTTTTTCTGCACGCAGCCTCTGCTGATGACCAACTGTACCATAACTGTTGAATGATGGATTCATATAGGTCTCACAGGGCACTGTTCTAACAGGCCTGCCAGATGGTTCTTTTCCTAGCCTTAAAGCAAACCACCTTGAAATTCCAGAATTTTTCTATAGAACAAAATAAAAATAACATTAGGTTAGAAGTTTATATACATGGAGAAATAGTGTAAGAAAAACCATAGCCTCAAAGAATGCGAGAATGCTGTTGGGGGATGGGCCAATGGCCAGCTTAAAGGCTATGTTTATATAAAAATAGGTGAACCATAACTCAGTTGTATGTTTGATGCATTTATTATACTTGTAATGGTCTAGTTAACATTTTTTACGTACTCTACTTGTCCTTTTTCATGTAACAATCATGATCGTGCAAAAAATGTTCGTTGTTGTTCTTTAGAATTTAATTCCTGATAAAAATCTGTTAGGGTAATTACTAATTGTTTAGTTATATATTAAAGAAAGATTTAAATACATACCACTCCATTCTTATGCATTTACATGTCTAACACCTAAACTTATATTTTTGCGTACATACCACCTGAACTTTACATGAAAAGGTGTATTTAAAATGGTCATATTTTTTACGTTAAGTGAAAGATTTGGGTGCTATAAATTTGGAAAGCAAAGTATAGGTGTTAGATATGTAGATACAATGGAATTGGATGGGATGTATGTAAATGCCCCATATGTTCAGAGAGAGTTCGACTGATTTTTTTGTTGTGAACTCGTGATAGTTTCTCTTCACCTGCCACTAAGAAAGGGAAGTTTTTCTTATTGTCTTCTGTTGGTTCTGATTTTGATTTCTGATAATCATCTATTAAGTTACCTTGTAATAACTACATCTTATGCATTCTCATTGCCTTGATCTTATTTAAAATTTACCGAATCCTTTATTTAATTTCTTCCTTATATTCTGCAGAGACATTGTCAAAATTTGGCTCTGGATTTTTTTTACTGGTGCAAGTGGTCCTGCTTCTGGATTTCACTTATACTTGGAATGACTCATGGGTTGAGAAAGATGAGAAAAAATGGTTTGTAAAACTGATTTATATTGGTTTGTTTATCTTTTTGTTTTGACAGTCTTCACTCAATTATTTGGCATTTCATTTTTGTTGCAGGTACATTGCTTTGCTTTCAGTATCTGTATTGTGCTATATCGCTACTTTCTCATTCTCTGGGGTGCTTTTTATGTGGTTCAACCCATCTGGCCATGATTGTGGGCTTAATGTTTTCTTCATCGTTATGACCATGGTTCTTGCTTTTGCTTTTGCTGTTATTGCACTGCATCCCAAGGTAGACAGTAGTGTTTGATTTTAATGAAATTGTTTATGAAAGAATTCAAGAGATTTTGGCAACGGGCTTATAAAAATTATGGAAATATTTCTTCTGACAATAAAACTACTTTTAATGATTGGAAAAGCTCTGTTAAACTAGAACAAACTCTATTTTTTTTTAATAGCAATCTCTATGTGAGAATAGCTGTTATCTTAAGAAAATAGGAAAGAATACTAACTTCTATAGGTATTATATGAGTATAACATCAATTGTATGTGAAACGTGTTGAGTTCATTGCAATTTCTTAAATGTTTTTGCTACTGTCCAATCTTTATGTTGAATTTGAGATTGTCTGGGAAACACGCCCAAGGAATGGAACGTTTTATTCGCAGGCAATTAAGAGAGAGGGAGAGTGAAGGATCTGTAGAAGACAGGTAAAAGGGTATCCTTTATTCATAATATGGACCCCTTTTTATAGACTCAAGTCCCAATATTACAAAAATACACAATAGCCCCCTAATAATAACCTTTCAGGGAGGCTTCTTGATAATTTACAATATTATTTGTATATATAAGGCCTCACAAGTGATAAATGTGGTTTTCTTCGCGTCGGCTGGGTGCATTTTGATTTGGTGGTATCTAGAGAATGCATCAAGGAAGCTCTGGACTGAGTGGCCAACAGCTGAATCTTTAGGTTGTCAATCTTTGGCAGGGGTTAAGAGTCCTTCAGATAAACATAGTTTAGGTTGGTGAAATCTACATGCACATCCTCCACTTTCCGTTGACTTTTTAAACCATCAACATGTTGGAGACCCATGTGAGGTATTACACCTCTCGAATGTACCTGCCTCTTCCATCTTTCGCTCCTCTTCTTGGATAGGTCCTGCTAGTGTCCTGACCGAGCTCTTGATTTTCTGCTTCATGGCTCGAGTCGACGGATCAACATTCAGTGTGTGGCACACAACATCGATCGACAATCCTAGCTTCTCGGCGGCCGTCCACACAAAAACGTCTTGGTTCTCCTGAAGGGCTTGGACCAATAGCTCCTTGCAACCCGCATCAAAAGCCTCACTGATCAAAAAACATTTACCTGGATCTCCTTCGACCGCCGGGACTCCATGAGTGGCTTCGCTGGTCTCGAGGCCACCCTCCCTTGCGTTTTGGATATCCAGGGTGTCATGCTCCATATTGTTTATGGCCTTCAAGTAGCAAACCTGAGACTGCTCCATGTTGCCATTAACTGTGATGATTTCCCCGTCTCCAGGAAATTCACAGCGACATGATAAGTGAAGACTCGCTCTGAAGTCGTTCAACAGCGGTCAGTCAAAGATGACGTTGTAAGTTGGGGGCGAATCCACAACGAGAAAATCTTCAGTAAGAGTGAATAGTTTCTCGTTGACCCCCCAACTTACCGGGAACCCGATCATTCCAACTGCCTCCTTCCTCTCACCGGAGAATCCATACAGCGGACTGGCTTGTGCGGTCATTCGATCAGCGGTGAGGCTCAACCTTATTGAACACCTGTTTAAACAATACATTCACAGAGCTACCTGCATCAATTAAAATACTCCATATTTTATAATTATTTATTATAACAGTTATTACAATAGCATCATTATATGGATTTGCCTTTGGGAAAGATCCTCATCAATAAAAAAAAGATAGGTGGATGTTTCTTTGGCTTCAGAGCGAAGGTGGTGATCCAGAGCTCCCCTATTTGCTGCCTTTTCTGGCTTGCCTTTCTGGGTGGCTCACTTCCTCCGAAGATTGCGGACACGGACCCTACAATGTGAATGGTGTTAGTGCGAACGGGGCTGTCGATCGCTCCTCCCGCGGAAGCCTTTGCCTTGTCTTTGAGTCGCAGCTCCAGAGGCGTGAAATTCTTTCAACTTTCCTTCCTTGATCAGTTATTGGATCAGGCTTTGCAGATGCCTGCATTCCTCCATGTCATGCTCGTTGTCTCTGTAGTACTTCCTGTTATCTTGGAGGAAAGCTCTGGCCCTGATCGGTGGTGCCTTCCTGAAGAAGTCTTTATCTTGGATGACGTCTACTATCTCTGCCATGGATACTCGAAGCGATGTCTCGTGTGGGACCTCGTGGTTATACCGCTCCCGGTGGTACGATGGTCGGTGGTTCTAGGGTTTAGTTGTCCGCCTCCGGTTTTCTCGGTGCTGGGTGGAGTAGTTATCTAGGCGACCCTCGTAGCAGAGGCAATTTGATAGTCGTGTGCTTTGTCTGGGTTGTCCTCCAATATCCCGTGGAGGTCTTTTCTGATGTGGTTGCTCGGTGGGCTCAGGAGAGTTCTTGTAATCTCAGTGGGCTCAGGAGAGTTCTTGTAAACGACAATGTATCTATTGGCCATCTTCTACAACTCGATCAAGCTTTATGGTTCTGCAAGTTTGAGGTTAAAACAGAACTTCTCTGACCTTACTCCTTGTGTCAGTGCGGCCTGAGCCTTGTCGAGCTTCATGTCCTTGACATCTAGTGTTTCGCTCTGGAAACGTGCGAAAAACGATCGTAAGCTCTTGTTTTCTCCCTGCTTTAGCTGCCACAAGGATCGAGCGTTCTTCTTGGGCCTTAGGGCACTGGCGAACTGGGATAGGAAAAACTTCCTGAACTCTGTGAAATAGGTGATTACCCCCCAGGCAATCCTTCAAACCACCTTAGGGCGGTCAATCTTAGCGTCGTGAAGAACAACTTACACTTGAGGGCATCCAAAATCTTCAACAGGCAGATAGACGATTCGAATGATGATAGGTGCTCGTTGGGATCCGATTGTCCTTTTTACATTTCCAGGACCTACATTTTGAACTTCTCCCGGGGTTCAACTCCGGAGACCTGCTGGAAAAAAGTGTTCTCCAGTTGTTTCTATTCTTTTGTCCGCATCGGTCGGTTCCTTTACTCCACAGGGGCGGATCCGACAATGTATTGGTACAGTTCGTCGTAAGGCTTTTTCTGTGGGTGGATTCCCCTCATTTCATTATTGACTGGCAGTTCTCCTTGAGGGGGGTTTTTGCTGTGCTAAATCTCCAACTGGAACTAGAGGGGCTGCTAAAGCAACGACCGCCCTAAAGACCTCAACGAACTGTCCCGACATCTGGTTGGTAATCTGGGTTCTCAAGTCTTGCAACACTTCCTGAACAAATTCTTCCATGAACTCTCAGGTACATGCTACTTCTTTGTTCTTCTGACTAGTCTCTCGTTGTTTTTGTTGTTGGTTTCTTCTTCTTATTGAAGACATGCTTCCATGCTCATCGTACCTTAAAGAATGTTTGATCTGAGATTGTTCGGGAAGTATACCCAAGGAATGAAACGTTCTATTAGGAGGCAATTAAGAGAGAGAGAGATAGAGAGAGAGAAGTGGTAGTAGACAAGCATAAGAGTATTCTTTATTCATAATATGGACTCCTATTTATAGGCCTAGGTCTCAATATCAAAAAAGTACATAATAGCCCCCTAATTGTTAATCTTTATGGGAGGTTTTTTTGGTAATTTACAAGGTTTGTATATAATAAGGATTGAGACCAATTCGATTGATAAGGGTCGTCTGATATTTTGACAGGTCTTGGTTCAATCGATTCATGTCCGAAGGAGTCCCTCCATCGATTGTTTTGAAGGTTGATGATCGTCCCGAGGGGCGTCCTTTTGTCTGTCGATCGTTCGACTAAGGTGTTTTCTCTGTCGCTACTCACCTGAAACGATCATCTGTTGCTACGTCTGATCGGTTGTTCTTTCTTTCTAGGCCGTTTATGTACTTATATTCAATTTTATTTTAATCATTGATGTATTTACAGCTATAACTTATAAAATCAATGCTTGAGCACCCATAATGTTACCTGCTAGTCGAGTTACTATTAGGAATTGTGTGGTTAGATAATGATTTGTTTTATTGTTTAAACAGCTTACATAAAACATCTAAATTAGTATGGGCATAAGTTGTCCTTTCTTGTTATGATGTTCTATATCATTAGGAAATTATCATAAAAACTGTCGATCTGACTATAAAGGCTGAGATTGATTGACCATATTTAAGTTAGCAGTAATTTCTTTTTTTGTTCATTTTGCTATATAAGCTATTAAACTATCTGTTCCGTGAGATTATTTAATAGCAAATTCACTTTCACAATCAGGCTGCTGAAATATGAAGGAATGTTTTCCTAGAAACTTTATGATATAAACTAGTACACTTTTCGGGCCGCGCTTACCCTACTGAAATTACCATTAGATTATTGGCTCTTTTATTTGATAGGACATCTTTCTTCTTTAAAAGTACTATGGTTTATCAAATTGTTCATAAGATTAGTTTAACTAATAGATAAGTTCTGTTACTTTAAATTTATATGTTCTCCTGTTTGCATTTTCTTATAGTTGCCATCATCCTGCTACCCCATTTTTTTCTGGGGGTTTAATAATGATTTTCTTTCGAAGCCAACCCCAAATAGTTATGAGAAGGCTAATGACGATTTCTCTCTCTCATGTTAATGTCTTTATTCTTTTCATTGTGGGAACTAAACATAAAATATTGAACATTCAAACATGCAGTAACTTTCTCTGAAACACAGGTGAATGGCAGCCTCTTGCCTGCTTCTGTCATCTCCGTGTATTGCGTTTATCTATGCTACAGCGCTCTCTCAAGTGAGCCCCGAGACTACGAATGCAACGGTCTCAACAACCACTCAGAATCCGTTTCGACAGCTACCCTTGTTTTGGGAATGCTAACAACCGTTCTCTCAGTTGTTTACTCTGTTGTCAGGGCCGGTTCCTCAACAACATTTCTCTCCCCCCCATCCTCCCCAAAATCCGGTACCTCTAAAACATCTATTCAAATTTCACTCTTCATTTTATCCATCAACCAATTCTCACATCAATTGTGCTGCAGGTTCATCCAAGCCGCTGTTGGAAGGAGAAATCGAATCAGGGAAGAATGAGGCAAAGCCTGTTACCTACTCTTATTTCTTCTTCCATCTTATATTTGCGCTGGCCAGTATGTATTCTGCCATGCTTCTTACTGGATGGAGTGGCTCAAAAACTGGCAGCTCGGAGCAGATGAACGTTGGATGGACTTCGGTTTGGATCCGTATCTGCACACAATGGACAACAGCTGCTCTGTATGTGTGGACTCTCTTGGCTCCTTTTATCTTCCCTGATCGTGAGTTTTATTAAGATCTCCCCTCTCTGCATCGTTTGGTTTGAATAAACATTGCTATTGTTCTCTTACTTTGTCTCATTCTTATTTTAGAATTGCTTGTAAAGATGGCGTGTAAATATGTGTTGAATTTTATGGTATTTTGTTACATCTGTATAAATATGTTTCAGTAGATGTTCAAATTTATCAGTGTTTATAATTATGCAAACTATAGTTTTTAGTGCACAATGCATTTGAGATGAAAAAATATCTTACTAATCTACACTGATCAAGCTATTTAAGCCTGTAACAGATTATAAGTCGTATGCATGGGACACATTGCATCAACATTTAGTGCTTTCATTTTGTTTATATCATTGAAATCTTTCATATCATATCGGAAATCACTATTTTAACTTTTAAACAGTGAGACATCTTTCATGTATAGGTCAGGTGACGTGCATGTATAAAAATTGAAGTTTAGGCGTAGGAGTTAAGTGGTTTGTGTGTATATCTTTCTAAGTTTAATCATCTAAATGACCTTATAAAAACATATCATATAACATAATTTTGAATGGAAGTTGTTTTTAAAATATTCTATTTATTCAATTACATAACAATTATTTGATATATTTATATTTTATATTAAAACATATAATAGTTGTTTGGAAACATGTTTATCATTCACTATCAATTTTATTGCTCTTTCTATTTGAGACAATGGCTAGAGTAATATGTGGTGAGTTTAAAAGCTAAATGAACAGTCCTAAAACATGGTTTAATTAATCAATGAGTTAAACTAATATGTATTAATCATGCTTTGGATGTAAAAAAATGAAATGAAAAATTATGATTCAATGCCTTATTTATAGTCATTATAAAATATTTTCCTTGAATGATTGCTGGGCATAAGAAAATGTGAGGTAATTTTATCTTAAAAAGTTATTAAAATATTATAAATTTAATCATAATTTGCAATGTGATATTTAATAATATGATTGTGATTTAAGATATGTATATATTTAATTTAATATCAATATAGGAAACGAAATAAAATAAATAAAATAAAAATCAAGTGAGAACCATTACCCAACTATCGCTTAATGAACTATTGCAGCACGAGGGGAAAAGAAAAAACACAACTTAAAAAACGGCAACAATATAATCTTACAAAGTCTTGGCAAGGCTTAACAAATATATATATTAGAAGATACATCCATGGGAAAAATATTACATCAGGACTCCGAACGCAATAGTTAGGAATATCCCGTTGTGTTACAATAATATTTTATCTGCGTTATTTGTAAAAAAAGAAGTGTTATTCAAGTATTATATGATGTTATTCGATTATTTTGCGATTTTATTTCGATATTCCCCTCGTTACTTGATTTGAGATTGTGTCATTTGGCATATTCTTCGTGTTATTTCAATTTCCACTATTTTATTGGAATAACACAACCTCAAATCAGGTAACGCGGGGGAATATTTCAATAACACTTCAGCCCCAAATCAAGTAACGCGGTGAAATATTCCAATAACACGCCAAAATAATCGAATAACACTTCATTTTTTACAAATAGCACAGATAAAATATTCCTGTAACATAGTGGAATATTTCAATCCGAACGTAGCTCTAAGTTTGGAGTCCTGATATAATATTTTTCCTACATGTGTGATGTTAGAATCACAGTTATGTACGATTTTTTTTTTCTTGCACAATTATAAGTTGCCATGTACATGATGTGTACTTAACATTCAATGAGTGTACAGTTATGATGTGCACTTAAATACATAAGGAATTTGGTGCTATGTTTTTAAACGCCCCTAGCCACAAACTACTTGAACTTTAGGTAACTTGATGAGTTTGAATAGTACATAATAATACATAATATACAAGGTTTAAAAAATGAAGAATGCCTATAATGAAGTCAAAATTAGAAACTATGATAGTCAATATACTTATCCATTAACTTCTACTTCAATCATAATTAATCTTTAATTGGAAAAAATCAAGCAATATATGGAATTAAATTGAATTGCCAATATTAATAAAACATATTTACTACTTTACAAAATGTGTATATTTGGAGTAACTTTTGAATAATTTTAATGAACAAAAATAAATTAAGATTGATTTTCATGTTAAAGATTGGGCCAATTAAGCCAATTATTATGCAATTATAACTTTTGTAATGACTAATAATGCCCAAATCATATCTTGAGTTTCAATAATCATTGAATCATTAGCCATTGAATTTGAATTTTACACTTCAATCCATGTTTCTTTCAATCATGACATCACTAAATATATCATTATTACTTCTAATCATGTGGTTTTTTACTTATTATTGAAATTACATCACTTTTATCATAAACTTATAAGGTCCACAAATCCTAGAGAGTCTACAAAAAGGAACTAGCGACAAAGTATAATGGCAAGAAAAAATTAGCAAGAGAATTATTTCTTAAATTAGATTTATTTTTATATAAGATTAATAAGTCATTTTAGGACATTTTTAATGTATTAATAGGAAAAACTATTATTTGAGTAGATAATTGTTTAAGATTTGCAAATTAAAAAATTGGATTTCACCTAAATTATAGC